TAAATGAGTTTTCTTGGTTTCATAAGCTTTTCTTATTTCTCTTTCACAGAGTTCTGAGAAATTAAAATTAGCATTTGAAAGTATTCAAAAATTGTTTAAATTGTTGTTTAGCTGTTATAATCCACAGGTGCAGTTCTAAATGAAATAAATGTGCCATCTGTTATGTCACAATATTGAGAAATTGACAACTGCACTAACAGAAAGGTTTAATATCTCTGACTTCACAAATTAATAAAAACTTCTTTTGGAGGAAAAAACTCTACATAAAATCCAATTCCATAAATAAATTCAAACAAGACACTTCCTTTAGTTTATTTTAATAGGAAACTATTAATGAAAAATTGTTAATATTATTTTCTGTTAGTATTAGAAAGGAATAAAATAAAGAAGTCATGCAGTTAATATTTAGTTTCTCTACACTTGCCAAAGACCACACAGTAGGTGCTGGGGATACAAAAATGTAGAACATAACCCAACTAGGCTAATTGATATGCCAGCAAAACACATAAACCATATAACTATACCAGACTGTGACAAAATACAAGAGAAAAAATTGCATAAATGGACAAAAAGTCATGATAGCTGAAAGCATTAACAGTTCTGCCTCCACTTTTCTACAAAGCTCTTTGAAGCCAGGAGCCATGTTTGTCCCATCAGTGCTGGATGATCACTAGCTGCTAGCATAATGTCAGATATACATTAGGTGCTCAATAAATGTCTGTTGACTAAAACAATAAAAGAAGGAAAGCTTCTTATAGAAAGTGACAACTGAGATGAGCATTAAAACATGATTAGGAGTTAAAGGGGAAAAAGTATTCCTGATAAAAGAAACAGAATAGAAAACATCCACCATTTACCCATTTATGTTAATTAACATTCAGCATTTTACTCCAAAATATATTTTCTACAAGCAACATTTACTGAGCTAAAGATTTCCGAAATGAATATTCTCATTCTGAATAAACAGAAAATACAGTACCAAGGACTCCAGTATCCACAGCATACCTCTCATTAGACTTTGCTGTGGAGATCTCTCACAAGACTACTCAAAGTCTTAGGAGAGGTATGTTAGCTCAATTATAGCAGTGTAAGCTTAATCATAACCATCACAAATAAAACCAAACATAATAGCTACAAAAATAATTTATAACAAAAAACAAAATGGAATAAAGTATATTTTAACCAAACATCATTTTAAGTTGGATTTAATCAAACGTCGCTTTAAAATTAATTTAATAAAATTTAATAAAGGAAACTTTACAACAGTCACGTACTCAAGAAACAATATGAGCCCAGGCAGAAATAGAAAAAAAGTAATTTTATGCCTAAAAAAATTGTAATAAATGCAGTTATTAGAGTAAGTCAGCTACATTCTGTTACACTCAGTTCTGAATGTGTAACATTTTGAGTCAGACTTCAGGTGAAAGATAAACATGAGCTGTAGCTTGGTCAACTAACCTTTTATGGGCTGACAAGCATTTTCTTAAAAGGCCAGATAATAAGTATGTTAGGCTTGTGGGCCACATAGTCTCATAATTATTTAACTCTGCTACCGAAAGTAGCCACCGACAATACATAAGTGAATGAGTGTGGATGGGTTCCAGTAAATCTTTATTTACAAAAACAGGTGGCTGGCCCATGACCATATTTGCCAACCCTGTCCTGGAATCTAAAACTGACTTCTCACTAACTTTTTTCATCAAGACCGCTTTACTCCCTTTCAAATACTTTCACATAAACTGTACTGGTGTTTCATAAGGCCTCTACAGATATCAATGAAGCAAACCTAACAGATATCCTCGTTTTATCAATTAAGAAACTGAAGCTCAAAGGAGTTGACTTGATCTAAGGACTACTAAGACCAGAGACTAAAAACCAGGCCTTTGTTCTTCTAACGCTTAATCATTATCCTCCATACCCAATCTTCCAATGCCGCAAATAAAACATTCAAATCATTTTTAGAATCCTCTGCTGAACCCTCGAGTTCTTTTTAGAAGACTCAGCCATTCACAATAGACTTTAAGAACATCTACTTAACTAATTAAATTATTAACTTCAATTGTGAAGTTAATTCAAATCCTTCTTTCTTTACATGATCCTCATCTTCTTCTATTTAGGCTACCTTCTTATTTACAAGTCTCCTAAAATATCATTTAATCTTCAAATCGCCAGCAAGAAACAAGGCAGTACACCTTCTTATGGAGGTGTAAATTATTTTAATCATTTCGTAAGAGTTTGTGAACTCAGTAATAAAAATGTGGTAAGAGGCCTAGTGCCTAACTTTGCAAAGCTTATAATCTAGTTGAGAAATGCCAGATGTATAAATATGAAAGTAAGGAGTGACTCCATGTAACCTAGGTCAAATCTAAAAAATTTAAAACAAAGAAATGAGAAATGAAAAAATGTAATTTACAGTATACAATGTCATAAAATACATGTCTTACTTGCTCTTGATACCACAGAAATGCCCTAAATTTTGTATAATGAAAGTTTAACGAATACTAAATACCTACAAACACCCATTTGATGTGGTAACAGCATAGTCCAAAAGTTAAAACTAGATCACATTTTTTAAAAATTATGGCAGGTGAAGGTTTTCTTCTGTTTTATTCTAGTCATTGCCATGACAGAACATCTACTGGACTAACTCCCTGGCCAAAAACACTGTTGAAGATAGAGGAATTACAGGACATGCCCTCACTCTGCATGGTAGGATGGGACTGGAGAAGTAATCATGCAAGTTGAAACTAAGCAAAGTGATCTTCATAACTAATGGGGACAATTACGATTGTTCCACAATCTTTAAAAAATTTTGTCAAAACATTTAAAAACTCTTACTGTTGATTATAAATATACACTAGAGGCTGAGCACAGTAGCTCATGCCTGTAATCCCAGCACTCTGGGAGGCCAAAGTGGGCAGATCACTTGAGGCCCGGAATTCGAGACCAGCCTGGACAACATGGCAAAACCCTGTTTCTACTAAAAATACAAAATCAGCTGTGCATGTTGGTACATGCTTGTAATCCCAGCTACTCAGAAGGCTGAGACATGAAAATTGCTTGAACCTGGGAGGCGGAGGATGCAGTGAGCTGCGATTGCACCATTGCACTCCAGCCTGGGTAACAGAGTGAAACTTAGTCTCAACAAAACAAAACAAACCACCACAATAAATGTATACTGAAAAATAAAAAGTTAAAAGAAATCCTAATATTTATTTAGTACAATTATAATTTAACACATTAGAAACATTGAGAACTGAAGTGTTTTATTTTTAAATTTTATTTTATTTTTTTTAGAGACAGGGTCTCACTCTGTCACTCAGGGTGGAGTGTGGTGGCACGATCATGGCTCACTGTAACCTTGAACTCCTTGGGCTCAAGCAATCCTCCTGCCTCAGCCTGCCTAGGACTGTGGGCACATGCCAGCATGCCCTGGTTAATTTTAAAATTTTTTTGTAGTGATGAGGTCTTGCTATGTTGCCCAGCCTGGTCTCCAACTCCTAGCCTCAAATAATCCTCCCAGTTGGGCCTCCTAAAGAATGCTGGGATTACAGGCATGGGCCACCACACCCAGCCAAAAGTATTTTATTTCTTTGTAAAAACTTAAGAACTTATAGTTTGAAGAGTGCTTGCTTTCTCAACATATAACTTATGGGCAAGCATCCTTCCCATGTCTTGGTGAATTGAAGTCATTTTTTCTACATTTTAATCAACTTCTAACATTTTACTATTTGTATTTCAATGTCATAAAATACCTGCGAGTTCCTTTAATAAGAAGTTTTTTATAGCATCACTTCCTTTGGGACATCTTCATCCTTTTGTCACAACTACTTTCCTTATTCATGCCAGTAAGTTCACCTTTACTGCATATAAGTTCCTCAATAAGTTCCCCTGGCTGCATAATCTAGTCTCTTGAAGGGCAGCCATGTCAACATTTTCAAAGTCAGCTATTGCTTCCATAACCCCCTTTCTTTCTATTCAAATTTCATTCCCAACATTATCAGTTTGTTTCTTTGTTGGATTTACATCTCTCTTGGCCAATTCCCTTTTTCAATTATCGATTTTTATAAAATGTTACATGGGTTTATTGCTGGAGACAAGGAGGCAACCACAACTACATGCTTTGCTATCTGTGGGTGAAATGAATAATAGACATAGAGAGGCCAATCACTGACAGATATGGAAAGAAGTGACATAATTTATCACTAATCATAAGCTCATCTGTTGTTATGTAATGATTCCTGGACTAAACTAGCAACAAAGTTCGCATTTTATGTAATTATCTGCAGTCAATATACCACTGTAATTGAAATTTGAACTATACAGTTGAGGACCTGGTGTTACTTAACTAAACCACAGTAACTGAAATTCATGCATACTGGAACCATGTAAAGGGAGGACTATCTGTACATAAAACAATCGTTTGAAAACACTAGAGGGTGATCAATGCAGGCAAGATCACAGAGTTATTTAAATTCTCCAAAACATGAGGGATACAGAGATGACCACCACATTCCACTTAGCTTTTTCCTTCGGAGTATTTTCTAAACCACACCAAGGAGAAAGGGAATTGAAGCACAAAACAAGTCTACTGTCCTGAGAAATCAGAGGTTGGAGTTCAATCCCCACACATGTGGAGGTATCTTTGTACGCACCCAGAATTTTCCATCGTGACCACAGAAGGGTCACGCCTGAGGAATCAAAGACCACATCCCTAGAGTAATGGCATTTCCTTCAGAAGCTAAACCCAAGTTTATATGACATATGCCATATGTTAGGGGCTAAGCAATCAGTCTAATGCCAGAGAATCCATGAACAGAGGGACACCAAAAGAGTAGAATGTAAGGGATGACTAGAAGTAGCCTCTGCACAAATCTGGGCACAGAGGCTACAATTTAAACTTGTACCACCAATTCTAAAATGTATCAATTACTCACAGGGTTATGGCTGTATCATATTTTATAAAGTGGTATTCTAAAATTAAACACTATTATGCTTACCATTTTGTAATCCCATCCAGAGTTGCTTGTGATCTTTTTTCTGCATTTCATTGATTACTTGACTTTTATGTTTTAAAGCATCAGCTTCTTTCATACATGACATAAAATGAGCTTCAATTGCATCCTTAGATGGACAGTGCAGAAGGTCTTTTTCTGGAAAACTCTATCAAAGGAAAAAATACACATATAAAACAGGTACACACATTACAAAATTAACCTCTTAAAAGAGAACTATATCCCCCGGTTTATCAATATTTCTAGTAAACTATCTCCTAGCACTGAAATAACCCAAAATACTTTTAAATTTAACTTAAAAATCTTTAGCTATTTGGCCCATTTTGTACTTTTCCCAAATAATTCTTATGTGTTTTATAACAACATGAGAAAAGGCATCAAAGGGTAATAATCTGAAAAATAGCTTTTCAACTGACCATACCAAGTATTGGCAAAGATGTGGAATGGAGCCCTCACACAGTACTGACAGAAATGTAAAACAGTATAACCACTTTGGAAAAGTCTGGTAGTTTCTTAAGGATAGTAAACAGACATCTACCATCTGACCCAGCCATTCCACAACTAGGCATCTACCTAAAAGAAATGAAAGTAGTATGTCTATATAAGGACTTGCTACATGAACGTTCACAATAGTTTTATTTGTAACAGCCCCAAACAGAAAACAAATCTAAACATCAACAGGTAAATGAACATATAAATTGTGGCATAAACTTACTCACTTCGAATAGGTAAAGCTTACTATAAGTCAATTAGACCTCAATAAAGCTGTTAAAAACTAGATTTTAAAGTCAAATAGCTAAATTTACATTCTGTAACTTCACTGGTTCTTTTAGGCAGCTAAAGCAATGATCATTGGACATACACAGAGTTATGTAAATGAAACGACTGAAAAAAAGATAATGAGAGCTAACAGTTACTGAACACTTACTGTGACACTGTATTAAAACTTTTTATATGGATTATCTTATTTAATCCTCACAACACTTGAGGTAAACATTACTATTATTGCTATTTTACAGATAAAAAAATTAAAGTTAGGGAATATCTAAAGTCGCAAGTGTCATTTAGCTTGCTAGGGAGCTAGGATTTAAGGCTAATTTGACTCAAGTCCTATCTTTTAACCATTATACAATATCACTTCCTCCAAAGACTTAAATATTTAAGATAATTATTACATTCAAACATGATTTTACAAAGTTATTATCCTATATGTACTTTAATACATTTAAACAGAAGTAAAAATGGCAAAAAAAATAGCATATAGCCTACTCAGGTTACCGTATTCATAAACAACATTCAATTATCCCTGTCATGGAGCTTTCATAAAAAGAATGAAATGAAAAGATAAAGAAAGAAGCTCCTGAGTGACTATGAAACACTGATGGAAAGCAGGAATTAGAAAGCGATTAAAGACACCATTCCTCATCTCTCTCAATACTTTTTTAATAAGTCAAATTTATGATTCACATGCAGTCAAATGCAGAAATCAAGAGTACAATAAAATGAGTTTTGACAATGAGTAACTGTCAGCCCAAGTACAGAGCATTACCATCACCCACAAAACGTCCTCTGTGCCCTTTGCAGTCAGTTCCCTCATTCCCTTCCCAAGAAATCACTGATAATGACATATAACACTAGATTAGTTTTGCCTGTAATAAAATCTCATATAAACAGAACTGCATTATTGTGTAACTTAGTATCTTTCACTTAGCATAATATTTTTGAGATTCATTCCTGTTACTGCACATATCAGTAATTAATTCCTTTTTGTTGCTGAGTAGCATGCCATTTAATGAATACACCACAATCTGTTTATCTAAAAACTTGTTAATAGACACTAGGATTGTTTCCACATACTGGCTATTATTTAAAAAGCTGCTATGAACATTAACACACAAGTCTTTTATAGACACATGTCTTCATCTTTCTTGGGTATACAGCTGGAAAAAGAAATGCTGGGTCACAGAGTAAGTGTATATTCTAATTTTACTTAAAAACTGCCAAACTATTTTTCAACATGATGTATGATGTTACACTCCCACTAGCAATGTATGAGTTCTGGTTACTCCATGTCCTCAAACTTGCTACTGTCAATCTTTTTCATTTAGTCATTCTAGTAAGCGTAATGTAATGTCTCTTTGTGGTTCTAATTTACATTTCCAAGATGACTAAAGATGTTGAGTGCCTTTTCATGTGTTTGTTGGTAAATTCATATATGTTCTGTGAACTAAGATTTTCACATTTGTTTAAAAGCAACTACTAGGCAAGAAGTTGAGTATAATGTGAATTTTATGGTTGCATATGTAAATATTGTTCACAAGAAATGCTAGGTGAACAGAAAATTTCACCCAGCTAAACTAATCAGCTGGGAACACATACAATGCACACATGTGCACACCTCCAAAATGGACCAGCTACTTCAATTCATGTTAGGAGTTGTATTCATCTACATCAGGTGCTACAATTTCTTGTTCGATATCAGAAAATCCTCCTTTCACTTCACCTGTCATGGCGCAAGTCTTCTATATCCGTTTCTGCAAGCAAACTTCCAGTCTTTGCAACATGAAATGCCATATTTATTGTAGTATTTATGCATTTCTCATACATTTTACCTGTTAAAACTGTGGTATGGTTTTTACTAGGTTCCTGTTTTTTTGTCAGTGTAAGTTTGTGGATGTTGTGCCCCTAACCCTTTCCCCCGTAAGTCCAGTAGTTTTCATTGCACAATTTTTAAAAGCAAAGTTAAGAACACATACAATGTATTATAGAAGTGCCTATACTGAGCAGACATCCTTGCCTTTTTCCTCATCTTAGAGTAAAACATTCAATAAACCATCATGTAGCATGACTTTAATTGTAGCCTTTTCATACTTTTCATATCTATCCTTTGTCAAATAGAGTGAATTCCCTTCTATTCCTAAGCTTGCTATAAGTTTTGATGACAAATGGGTATTAAATTCTGTCAATGAATGACTTTTTCTGTATCTATTGATTTTTCTATTTTATTCTGTGATTTACATTGATTGAGATGTTTTATTTTGAGAGGGTCTCACTGTGTCACCCAGGCTGGAGCACAGTGGCACAATCACAGCTCACTGCAGCCTCAACCTCTGGGGCCCAAGCGATCCTCCCAATTCAGTCTTCTGAGTAGCTGGAACCACAGGTGTACACCACCATGCTCAGCTAATTTTTAAATTTTTTTGTAGAGATGAGGTCTCCCTATGTTGCCCAGGCTGGTCTTGAACTTCTAGGTTCAAGTAATCCTCCTGGCTCAGCCTTCCAAAGTACTGGGATTACAGGCGCGACCCACTGCACCTGGCCTACATGCGTTGAGATTTGAATGTTGAATCAATTTTGTACTCCTAGGATAAACTCAACTCAATCATGGTGTGTACTGTCTTTTTTAATTATTGCAAGATTCAATTTGATGGTACTTCATTGAAGGCTCTTGCATCCATGATCATGAAATATATTGGCTTATAATTTTCTTTTAATGTCTTTAACAGGTTTCAATATCAGGGTTATTCTGGCCTCTAACACAAGTTGGTGTCTCATTTCTGGAAAAAGTTTGTAAAGAGTAAGAAAGTTTGTAAAGTTTGTAATATTATTTCTTAAACATTTTATTTCATTTTATTTTTAACTTTAGAGACACAGTCTCACTACGTTGCCCAGGCTGGAGTGCAGTGGCTATTCACAGGCACAATCCCACTACTGATCAGCACGGGAGTTTTGACCTGCTCCATTTCTGACCTGGGCCGGTTCACCCTTCCTTAGGTAACATGGTGGTCTCTTGCTCCCAGGAGGTCACCATATTGATGCCAAACTTAGTATGGAAATCCAATTGGCATAGCACACTACAGCCCAGAACTCCTAGGCTCAAGCGATTCTCCCGCCTCAGTGTTCTGAGTAGCTGGGACGACAGGCATGTGCCACTGTACCCGACTAGTTCTTAGGTATTTTATAGAGTTCTCCAATGAAACTCTCTGTGCAAGGTGTTTTACTCTGTGAGGTTTTTAAAATTACAAATCAAATTTACTTGCAGATTAAAGAGCTATTCATTTATGTTCTTATGTCAGTTTTGGCGACTTGTGTTTTCATTGAATTTGTCCATCTGTCAGATTTATCGGCATAAAGGTATTTATTCAGTTAATATAAATGAATTATATAATGTGCAGTCATTTGTGTCTTCTTTCACTTAACATGATATTTTCAAGGTTGTAACATATTGTCAGTAATTCCTTCCTTTTCACGACCAAATTATACTCCATTGTAAGGATACGTACAGTATTTTGTTTATTCATCAGCTGATGGACATTGGGTTATTTCCGCTTTGCCTATTATGAACATTCATGTATAAGTTTTTGTGTGGACACGAGTTATTTCCATATTTTGCATATTAGAATTACATATTCAGTTCTCTTGGCAATATTACTAAGAGTAGAATTGCTGGGTAACACGGTAAGTATATCATTTGATGACATACTAAACCGCTTTCCAAAAAGGCTACACCATTTTCATTCTCATCAGCAACGTACGAAGGATCTAATAAGCCTATACCCTCTCCATCATGTGTTACCGTTTTTTGTTGGTTTTTTTTTTTTGGAGACAGGGTTGCACTCTGTCATTCAGGCTGGGTTGCAGACACGCGATCAGGACACACCTCAGTCTTCCAAATAGCTGGGACTATAGGCACATGCCACCACACCAGGCTATTTTTTAAAAAATTATTTTAGTAGAGATGAGTTCTCGTTATGTTGATCACACTGGTCTCGAAATCCTGAGCTCAAGTGATACAGCTGCCTCATCCCCACAAAGTGCTGGGATTAAAGGCATGAGCCACCACATCCAGCCTTGTACATCATCTTTTTGATGATAACCAATCTAGAGGGTGTGAAGGGGTAATTCATTGTGTGGTTTTTTGTTTTTTTCTTTTTTTGCTTTTCCCTAAAAACTAGTTATGCTGAACATCTTTTCATGTGTTTACTGGACATTTATATAACTTCTTCACAGAAATGTCTATTCGAATTCTTTGACTAATTTTTAATTGGGTTTCTTTTTTTTATCTTTTTATTATCAAGTTATTTCCATATTCTGTATATTAAACTATTAGATAGTATAAGATTGCAAATATTTTCTCCCATTCTGTAGGCACCCCACACACAGTCTTGATTATAGCTTTGACACTGAGTAGTGTAACCATTATTTTTTTAAAATATTTCTTCTGACCCATTCTCTCTCCTCTCCTTGAACTCCAATTACACGCAGACTGCCTGATATTATCCCAGAGGCTCTGTTTTTTCTCTATACCAATTTCCATCTCTCTGTTCACCAAACTGGTAACTTCTGTGGATCTGTCTTTGAGTTCAAAGAACCTTACTTCTGCCATCTTTAATTTGTTGTTAAGCCCATGTAGTAAATTCCTCATTTCAGATATTTTTCTACACAGTTCTACAACTTTGTGACTTTTTTTCTCTTAAGTTACTGAATTTATAATAGTTGTTTTAATTCATTTTTCTGGTAGTACCAAGATGTGGATTCTCTTAGGTCAGTTTCTATTGAGAGTAAATTTTTTTTTTATTTGATATGGACCATATTTTCTTGCTTATTTGCAAGTCGAGTAGTTGTGGATTGTATGGTGGACACTGTGAATAATATGTTGTAAGGATTCTAGATTATATTGTCTTCCTTTAAAACGCTAAGTTTTGTTCTGGCTGGCAGTTAATTTACTGGCAGCTCTCCTTAATCCTAAAAAGGCAAGTCCAGAGCAACTCTTACTCTAGGGTTAAAGACTGGCAATAGAGATTGGCAAACTTTCTGTAAAGGATTACACAGTAAATATTTAACACTGTGCAGGTCATACAGTCTCTACTGCAAATACTCAACTAGGCTGTCATAGCCGCAAAGCAACCATAGACAATACGTATATGAATTTCCATGAATGGCTGCATTTCAATGCAACTTTATTTATGGTCATCACTAAATCTATATTTCATGTAATTTTCACATGTTACAAAATATTTTTTTAAATTTTTTTCCAACCACTTAAAAATGTAAAAACTACTCTTACATCACAGGCCATGCAAAAACAGTCAGTGGGCCACATTTGCCAACTCCTGCTCTAATGTATGATCCTTACTCCAAAATCATGGTCTTTCTGGCATCTCAGGTAACTGCTCAGTATGTAGCCAAATGTCTCTCCACTTTGAATGAGCTGGAATCCAACACTTTCCAGCATCATAAGACGTTCAGTATCTTGTTCCACTCTTAACCCTACAACATTCACTCTCTACTAGACCTTGTAGAGTATCAGCTATGCATGTGCAACCCAGGCCTCGGCCAAGCACCCAGGGAGAACATACACATATACTTTGTGCTAAGGCACCCACAGTTTTCAACACGATTGTTTTTGCATATCAGTGTAAATGTTAACACAATGGGAAGGGCCAATAACATCTTGATATTATTATATCATGAAAACAGCTTTGACCTGAAGAATCCATTGAAAGGGTTTCAGGAAACTGACACATAGAAGGATCTCCACATTTGTTGAATGAATGAATGAGTGAATAAATAAACAAACAAGTAAGACAGCTATGATGTATTTTAATCTAGATTTCAAAGTATTTTAGAGTTTATTTTTAACACACAAAAAAATCTAATTATTGGAATTATTTTCCAACATTAACAGAGAAGACTCATTAGGCAATATAGCACCCCTACCCTTAATATGTTTGAAGTATTTTTATCTCCACACCTCTCTAAACTTAAAAACTGTTGTATATGCAAGCATTCCTTGCTTTGCATGTAACATGGTGAGTGAAATTCATGCATACCAGCACTATGTGCTCCATCTATACTGTTCTTTGGTAACTAAGGTGTTTAATAATATGGTATTGTGCAAAGCACATTATTATAAATGTACATGGAAATAAGCTCTAATGACCCACAAACTCAAATTCAGTAAAACAGGAAGGAAAACCATCATAAGAAGAATGAGCACCCTTTGGGCAGTAACTATGAATGGACACTCCTGACGGGAAAGAAACTCAGACACGTAAATGACTTTTTCAAACTCTACATGCCTCTCTCCAATAAAATATAGGAGATCAGGTGGATCACTTGACTTGAGGTCAGGAGTTCGAGACCAGTTCAAGTACCTGAGACCGACATGGTGAAATCATTGCTATTTGAGAATGAATCACTGTTCGTGATCAACTAATATAAGAGACCGACATGATGGAATCATTGCTATTTGAGAATGAATCACTGTTTATGATCAATTAACGTAAGCGTTTCCAATCACAAAAACCAAATGTGTTTGTGAATTGGGGGTCAGGAACAGAGCAGAAGCAAGGTGGCTAAGGGAATGAGGGACCAGCACTTCACAAACTATTGAGACAAAATTAGGTCACACTAAATTCAGTCTGGTCTTAAAAACTACAGGAATGAACATTTCTCAAAACAGAGGTAGATCAAATCTTTGGAATTCCATCTCCTAACCCTTCTCTTAATTCAATCAAAATAGCCTTAGAATTACTCAACAGTATTAGGTTGTCCCCTCTGTACTTCCATATCCACATCTACATGCAGGATTTCTCTTGTTCCTAGTTGACTTTTAAAAATTAACACCAACTTTCAAAACTTTGATAAATTTTATTTTTTATAGAGGCAGCGTCTCACTACATTGCCCAGGCTGGTCTTGAACTCCTGGGCTCAAATGATCCACCCACCTCAGCCTCCCAAAGTGCTGGGATTACAGGCGTGAGCCACTAAGCCTGGCCCAAAAACTCGTAAATTTTAAACAGTGTATTCAGCACTAATAAAGAAAATCAGTTCATACATTAAAAGTGTAAGTGTTTCTGCCAAGAGTTAGAAAAAAATTGAAAAGTATCTTATAGACAAATACTAATCAAAGTTTAGCAACTAAAAGAGTGTCATGGGAAAAGAAAGAAATAACTTCACTTCAAAAGAAAATTCTACTCGAAGTCTGTTTACTATGTATCACAAATGGGACAAAGGAGAAATGCAATTTACTATACCTTAAAATGTACTGTGATGTTCCAAGGAAGAGCTGAACTTGATGCAAGAAGATCAAATAGTAAACCAATTGGATAATGCCTAAAAATGAAACAGTATATTTTCAGAAAATAAATATGTAAAGTTATAACTACAACTCCAAAATAAATTTCCAACACATATTTTAACACCAAATGTCAGGCGCTTTAACCACAAATCACAGAAAGGCTACATTCTTTTTTACGTGCCTGGGCTAGTATGATCTACTTTCCAGGCATCAAGTGGTTTCCTTCTAAACACTTCATTCCCATAGAAACCTCAATATGCACAATGGGATTGTGGGCAAAGGCATTCTTTATCAGCCGTGTGAACTGTTATGTCACAGTACTGCTGCATCTAATTGTCATCCCAGTATTCATAAAGGACAGTTGATTTTTGTAAATTTATTTAAATATCTTTTTTACTTTTAGAACTTAAAATTTTTAAAAACTGTAAGAACCAAGATGAGCACCTAAAATGCATGCAAATCACCTATTCTGTGGTTACTATTAACATTATAGCATATAAATTTCCAGTCTTTACCTATACATACATATCTAAATATAGATCAGGACTACCCTTTAAAACTGTACTATAACCTTTTTCACATAATATAATGTCAACATTTTCCCAAGTCACTGAATATTCTTCTGAAACCTAATTCTAAATTAAAAAAAAATAAGTTCCAAAATAAGAGAACATTTCCTAATATAACCATTACTCACAGTGAAGTAAATTACTTAGCAATAAATAAACATGACTAATACAAACGTTGTAGATTTCAATGGACAAACCTTAAGCCATCCTTTTAAAAAGTCTAAAGTAAATGAGCTTACTTGGTTAATCAGAATTAAATAATACGGGTTGAGTATCCCATTTCCAAAATGCTTGGGATCAGAAGTGTTTCAGATTTCAGCTTTTTTTTTAAAATTCTGGAATATTTGCATCATATTCTTGCCATTTGAGCATCCCAAATCTGAAAATCTGAAATGCTGGAATGAGCACTTCCTTTGAGTGTCATGTCAGTGCTATGTTTACCTATGTATGTACAGGTAAATGTACTTAGATTCTGGATTTCAAATTGTGGGATGTGGGATGCTCAACCTGTACTCACAACCAAGGCAAAAATAAAACTACTTGGTGTTATACACAGTCCTGTCTTTATCTGTATCATCTATTAATGAGTTACTCCTAGATTTAAGAGCTGCAAAATTTGAAATCACATCAAATTTATCTCAAAATGAGTAACTGTGACCAAGATTCAAATGTCAGTTAATATTATTTATGCTTGTGCTACTCTGGGCACAATGCCTATGGGATAGCCCTGCTCTGCAAGGAGCAGTACATTTGCTTATATATAAAACATATATATATGTTTATATATATAATTGTATATATATAATTTATGCTTGCTTACTTGTACATAATTATGGGAAAGTCATCAGTTTCTAGAGATCATGTATTTATTTGGTAGGAACTTAGGATGGGCCAGGTACAGTAACTCAAGCCTGTAATCCCAACACTTTGGGAGGCCAAGGCGGGTGGATCACTTGACTTCAAGTCAGGAGTTGCAGACAGTTCCAGTACCTGAGACTGACATGGTGAAACTCTGTCTCTACCCAAAAATACAAAAAAAAAAAAAAAAAAGAAAGAAAAAAAAAATTAGCCGGGCATGATGGCACACAGCTGTAGCCCCAGCTACTCAGGAGGCTGAGGTGGGAGAATCTCTCGAGCCCGAGAGGTAGAGGCTGCAGTGAGCCAAGACTGCGCCACTGCACTCCAGCCTGGACGACAGAGTGAGGCCTTGCCTCGAGAAAAAAAAAAAAAAAAGAATTTAGGATGAATGCCCTGTTGGTAAAAATAAAACAGTGGGGGTACTTTTAGTCTTATATACATTATATCTCTTAATAAGAACCCTTAAATTTCTCTCTAATCAATCCTTTCATATCCAGAAAATAATACTGAAGAAAACTATAGAACCAGGAAAAACTCTCACCTCAGTCAAAACCTAAAAAAAATATATATATACACACACACACACACATATATATATACATATATAGCACTATAGACAAGTCATAGATTTAATCCAATTCTGATCCTTCTCTCTGAAGTATTAAAATTGAACAAACTCTAAAATAATACCTCATACTTTTACAAAACAGACCCTTTAACGTCTTCGATTTATTTTTTTTTAGAATATCTCTCTTAGGTATCTGCAACAGGGTTAAAGATGAATGTAGGCACTTAACTGAAGTTTTATTTACTTGGATTTCATTAAAAAGACTTAAAATTTCAAAAGTGACACCATATTGCTTTCCAGATTCTAAACAGCACTGAAAATACAATTACAAAGAACTCCACTAAGCAAAATAAAGAGTCAATCTATTAGATAAGATTCACTTGAGATCACATAAAACTACTACAATCCAGTGTTTTACATATTCCCTGCCATTAACAAATATGTGAAACACTTTTGTAAATTTATAAGCAAATTCTAAACCAAATATCATATCTTAAAGTAATCTATAATATAAAATCAAGTTTTTTTTTTTTTTTTTTTTTTTTGAGACAGGGTCTTACTCTGTAACCTAGGCTGGAGTGCAGTGGTGCAGTCAGAGCTCACTACAACCTTGACCTCCTGGGCTCAGGCTGGTCTCAAACTTCTGGGCTCAAGCAATACTCCCACCTTGGCCACCCAAAGTAATGAGATTATAGGCATGAGCCACTGTGTCCAGCCCAAATAACTTTTAAAGGAAATATCTGGATAAGAATACAAGTTAAACATAAGACTCAATCATCAATTATTTTTTACCCTCAATATTTAAAAAATGAGAAAACTGTAAATACACAGAATCTTGAACAAAGTCCATAATGAATAGCTGCTGAATGCATAAATCAAAGAAGTCCACAGACTAACCCTAGGTACAACATAAAGATCCAATGGAGCCAATTTTAAGTTCTGAGTTTCCTTTTTGAGCAGTTCCAACTATTTTAATGATTGATACTTCATGACTTTTATTCACTCTTAAAGGTATTCCAAAGAACAGAAAAAACTCACTTTAAAAAAAAAAGATAAAACTTACTCCATGTAGTAATTACTATATGGAGCCACTGGACCCTTTTATAAATCTAAGATATATTTTAGGGTCTTACTGATTTTATTGTTTCCTATACATTTTACTATTTCATCACTCTGGAACTTATTTCATCATTATTTGTCAATTATTCCCAATAAGAGACTAAAACAGTAAGAAATTGAAAAAATAACGTGATGCCTAGAAGGATGATAGAAGAATGTACCCTTCCTTCATTTTCTTACTGTGTTGCCTAAAGTATTGAAACATCTTTCAAGAAAGTGTAAAACAAGAATGCAGGCTAGGCTGGGTACAGTGGCTTACATCTGTAATCCCAGCACTTTGAGAGGCTGAGGCGGGTGGATCACCTGAGGTTAGGAATTCAAGACCAGGCTGACCAATATGGTGAAACCCCATCACTACTAAAAATACAAAAACTAGCTAGGCGTGGTGGCATGCACCTGTAGTTCCAGTTACTCAGGAGGCTGAGACAGGTGAATTACTTGAACCCGGGAGGTTGAGGTTGCAGTAAGCCAAGACTGCGACACTGCACTCCAGCCTAAGCAACAGAGAGAGACTCAGTCTCAGAAAAAAGAAAAAAGAAAGCAGACCCCATTCTGGAATCAGTTTTTAGCTATCATTAACACAGTTGAAAATTCCAAATTTCTCATTTTCTACCTATAATGGCAGAGAAAAAAACTTGACAGAGGAAGATGTTTCACAATTATTAGACAAATCAGGACAAAAAGGAAAGAGAAACAGCAATACTCTGGACTTTAATGACAATAGTGAAATTGATCATTTAAGTGAAATCTCAAACTCTGAGTCTTTAGACGATATCAAATTTTACATAGCTCAAGAACTAATAGAAGAACAATATATTTCTAAGGACAAAAAGGAACGTATGATAATCTTAACAGCTTAGTCATCAACAGAAAAAACTTCATTACATGATATTTTATGACAAAAACCTGGACCATTCCATTTTACTAAAAGAACGTGTGACAATATTATTTCGTCTTTTATGTTACTTATAAACTCAAATTTCTTTGATAGTGGGCAAATGCAAAAGGTCTATTTATATACAAAGAAGACTGAAGGAATTAGATCACATAGAAATGAAAAAAAGTACTAGACTGCTCAGTCTAATTGGTGTTGATTCACATAAAAAAGAAAATATTTTGTAATGAAATCATGAGCTGGCAAAGGGTTTATAGATTTCTTCAAGTATTATTAACACTATTAGAAGCAAGAAGGGCCAGAAGTAATAAGCCAGAACCTCTCAGAGGTATATTTGTACATATAAAAATTAATGAGCAATTAGTTGCATTCAGGGGATGCTGACCATTTTAGATACCTTTAAAACTAGAAAAATATGAAATGAAAATGTAAATCTGTGTATTTAAACCTGTATTAAAATTTCTTATAAAGTTGTTATACACTATTCCTTTATTCTAGCTTCTCTAAATTATTTGGAAACTGACTTAAATACATATATTATATATTATACATAATAAAAATATTTATATATTATATATAATAAATATATTATATATAACAAAAATATTTTTGTATATTATGTATAACAAATATATATTACATATAATAAAAATATATTTATTATATATAATAAAAATATATATTATATATATAATAAATATATATATATTTTTCTTAAATTCATTGAGGCTGGGCATGGTGGCTCATGCCTGTAATCCCAGAACTTTGGGAAGCTGAGGCAGGTGGATTGCTTGAGCCCAGGAGTTCGACACTAGCCTGAGCAACATGGCAAAATCCTGTCTCCACAAAAAATACAAAAAAAAAAAAAATGAGCCAGGCATGATCTGTACTCAACAGCGTGAGACCCTGTCAAAATCTTTTTTTTTTTTTTTTTGAGAGAGAGTCTCACTTCTTCTCACTCTGTTGCCCAGGATGGAATGCAGTGGTGTTATCTTGGCTCACTGCAACCTCCACCTCCCGGGTTCA